CGTGCGCAGTAGCGCGGCGGCGGAGGGAGGCGCGATGGAGGGTCCTCTGACTGTCCGCCAGGTAAGCGGCCCTCGTTGGTGCGGGTTCCCAAGCGGTGGCTCCCCCCGGCAGTTTTCTTGACGACGGCTGTTTGAACCCTCTCTGGTTATGATAGTGAATTCCTCCATTCCCTTGTGTCGGTGCTCTTTGGAGTAATTTGGAAAGTTGTTACCGAGGAAACTGTTTCCTGTGCTTCCTGCGAGCCTTCCCCTCTGGGCGATGGGGGAACGGCTGTTTCTCTGTGGGCGCTGGAATTGGGTCCCGAAATGTCCTAGTCCAGCTGTCTCAGCTCAGGCCCCATTGTCAGGATTCTGCCCTGATTTCACGTTGATCCAGTCTCACCCCCTGCCCTTAACTATCAGCTCTTGATTAAAGGGCTCAGAACTCCAGATAGTTTAAATCAGTGTGTTGTCCACCAGGCTTCTGGTTTCAACTAGTTTTGTTACTCGTTTACGATCTTATTTGATAAACGGAAGAACTTGTTGATTACTCTTCAGGGCGAAAACCTACTTTTGTTGCAAGAGTACCTGTATCTCTGGACACTGTCCTCATTAGTTTTACATGGCTGTGTGTATATATTTTACTTTTAGAGAATTGCAATCAGTGCAATACCGTTTATTTGAGTAGCATTTTACAGTTTACGAAACGATAGAGGCACTCAAATAACTGTTGAATGAACAAGTGAATGTACTGTTTCCGTTGATTCTCAGAACATTACGGTGAAATAGGCAAGATAGCTATTCCTGAACCCAGTCAGTCATCTTTCAACAATGTCCCTGGCACTGGGTGTTTGGGATAAGATGGTGAGCGACACAGACATGATCCCTGCTCTCAACAAGCTTATTGCCTAAACTGGAGAGAATTATTACCCCTACTGTAGAGTCAAGAAAACAGATTTAGAGAGATCAAGTGACTGCCAATGACCGCACAGCTCATAAGTTAGAGAGGATTGTGTTGTAGCCACTCTGCAAAGCCAGAATGGACCCCCACCCAGAGTTTGATTTGGGTATAGAAACTGTTGATGCCACACACACACCATAAAGGTGTGAAAAGTTTTATTACCTATTTATAAAGGCTGTATTACTTATATACTTACGTAATGAAACGGGGCGAGCAGGGCAGGCTTCTCAAGCAGACCTGAAATGACTGGAAAGGGCGAGGAAAGCAGGCTGTCTCTGCACTTTTATTGTGGTGGAGGGGGCAGGAGGAGTGTTTGTGTGTGTGGACAGGGGCTTGCTTGATTTGACTCTTCCACCCACGCTAAAGGAAAGAGCACCCAAGCCTTCTTACCAGCTTGCCCATTTGGGGGATGAAAGAGGAAGAAGGAGGGATGAGGCTTAAAAACAGTCAGTAGGCAAACATAAAAAAAATTGAATGAGACCTCTTTATTACAATTCACCCCTGATGTTTGCTGACTGAAATGTACCATTTTTCATTTAGTCGAATTTGAACTTGTTTGAGTAAGCCATCATGGTCCTATGAGGCCTGCAGCCTGACACCAGTAAGGAAGATTGAGGTCCCATTGAATGCCATATTCAAGAGCCAAGAGGGTGTGTGTATACTGAGAAATAAAATGAGTGCCTTGGTCACTATCAGTAATGTCTGAAACTCTGATGGGGATAAGGAGTGTCTTGGTGAGGTTTTTTTATTGTGGCTTTAGTATATGTAGAGACATGTGTGACCTTGATTTATATTTTGAGTATCTGTGAGGCAAGATGGTTCCAGAGTTCTTTACCCCAAAGGGCGCAACTCTTAGGCTATTGCCCAAGAGTCTGTAAAAATGTGCAGGTGGAGCCAGTTCTTGGCCAGAGCATTCAGTGTTAAGATGATTGTGGGAAGTTCAGCCAGTCGTGCTAACCCTTGGGTCCTTTCGTTTATCAGGGACATCCTGGTTAAGGGAGGAAAAGGTCTCCAGTGAGTTCCTTCATGTGTAATGGTGGTGATGCTGTCCACTGAACAGCAAGTTTGTCCATCAAACTTCAAATGGGAGTTTGAAGTGTACAAACACCTATTGCTGTTCACTCAGTTGAGCCCAAGTCTCTCCCCAGGTATTCAGGGGGTTCAGGAGGAGGGTGATCTCTTCTAGCACCCTGACCTCTGACAAAGCAGTGAGGACAGGGGACACCATGCCCTCCTGCAGGTGGGTGTGCCGGAGGGCCCAGATTTGGTTCTGTTCTGTAGCAAGGAGCCCTTGATGGCGGGGCTGAGCTTGCAAGGTGTGCTTCCAGGACCCAGGGCATAATGGGCTGCTGGGTGTGGAGGGTTGCAGGGTCAGGGCTTGTGAGATCCTCTGTTTTCAGGAAAGTCCAGTGTACTGTCGGTGATTGCCGCTCTAATGGTGGATAGTGTGGGGCTGAAGAGAGAGTTCTTTTGCATCAGAAGCCTATGGACAACTTACGGACATTATGAGTGGTCCAGAGACTCCAGGAGTCGTGAAAAGAGGCTGTGAAGTCTCTCCAGTGAAGGATTCTTTGTGTGTGTATATGTGGTGTGTTTTGGCAGCAGGGGAGTAGCACTAATGGGAGTGTCTGTTATATTATAATTTTGACACATTGTAGAATCTTTTTTGAGAAGGGGCCCCATTCAGGGTGGTCTGATTTGCAAGTAATAACGTAAATATACTCAAGTGAAATTTGTAAATGAGGAATATATTGCCTCTAGAACCCAAAAAGGCCTAAACGATGTTGGGCTTGTTTTAATGTGGTGGGTGCTGAGAGTGTCAATCGCTGTTTCTTGACATCGTCAGGGATGGAGTGGCCCTTGGTTAACCAAATAATTTTCAGGAATTTAACCAAGGTGGCAGGCCTTACAATATGTGTGGGTCCATGGCCCATCCTCTTTTCGTGAACTCCTTTGTGAATTATTGGTATGTCCTGAGTGAGTGTGTCTTGAGTGGTGTGTCCTGGGTGGGTGTGTCAAAAGAATGTCCTCAGAGGAGGATGTAATCAATGTAATGTCATACCTGTGCTCCTGGAGAAACTTGGATACAGTTAAGCTTTTGCTTGTAACAGTTACATGCGATGGCAAGGCTTTTGAAGTACACTATGGGTAGCCAGGAAAGGGTACGTCATGTCTCTCTGGAGGTGAAAGCAAACTGTGACTGAGAGGTCATTGAAGGAGGCACTGGACAGAACATGTTAGCCAAATTTATAATATCAAGATATTTACCAGTGTCTGATTGGATAGAGTCAGTAATTTCAATAATACTGGGTAGAGGGGTCTTCATCATTAGGCCCACAGCATCAAGGATACGATAGTCAACTGTGAGGCACTATTCATTTTTCCAACTTGAACAGGCCACCTTGGGTTGTTCAGTGGAGAAGCAGTAGGATAATCCATTCTTTTACTAATTAGGTCTTAGATAATACAGTTCATTCTTTGAAGGCCCTGTTTTATTTCACATTAAGCTGTATTAACTATTTTAACTAGGGGTTGAGGAGTTGGTCCATGGGGTCCCAATTTTTTAAAGCCAAGTTGTCAAGTCAAGGCTCCAAAGACTTGATTGAAGTTGATTAGTCATTCAGTGGGAGCAGCCCTCGCCACCTTGGATATTTCAGGGCGATGTGTGTTGTGACCATGAGCGTTTAGGCAAGGCAGCAGTTCTGGTGGTTAAGGTGAGGCAAACCTGTTTGTTGTCTATTTTATGTTGAGTAATTCCCCTAAGATTATAGGGGCTACCTTGTTTAAATTTATTGGAATCTCCAGTATAAGTATAGTTTGAGGCCAGTATTACAGCCATGAACATCTGCCAACTGATGCATTTCAGAAGATGTTGAAGTTCATTCAAAAACTATGCTGTAGAGGTGCAACAAGCCAGTCTTTATCTTTTGTCGTATAAATTATTTTAGTAAGTTTTGGATTTCCATCTGGGTCAAATTGGACTTCTGTTTCAGTTTTTGTCTATTTATCTGTTTGTTTCTTTCCCCCATATTCAGCTTTGTTTGTTTCTTTTTTTCTGCTATTTTTGGTGGTTAGTGAAAATACATCCATTGGAGGGGGTCCTCTCTACTCTTCTATATTTATAAATTTCTTCCTCCAGAGAGCCTCAAATCAGTATCACCAGGGTTAGGGGCTTCCGTGGTGGCAATGGTTACTTTGTAGAGTTTATGAACCCCAAGCTTATGTTGAGTTAGAATTACCCCTTTGCTGTGCCACATGGGTGCCACAGGTGCTTTTCTGTGTAACCCTGAGGATCAGGATTTTTGTTACAATGCAGGCACGGGTGGTGGTGGCAGCAGCATCAACGCATCAGTGGTATTTAAGGGTCCCGGTGGGCTGTGTGCTCTTACACAGCCCGCCTTTTCTCTCTTCTTTTTAAACTCCATGACTCCCCTTTGTGAGTGACCCCCCCCCCCCACACTGGGCCCATATCTTACACAGGGTGTATATAATCTTTCCCCTCAGCACTCTATAGATTGGTGGCGATGCCTACTTGAGATATCTGATTTATTTATTTTAACTCCATTGTTTGTGTAAATCAGAGTTAATTTACCAATTTCTTTACCAAACAACAGGAAGGTTATTTCAACTTTCTTAGTATTACGAATGTTCTTGACTCCGTGTGCACATTAAATTGCTGGGTTGTAGTATATACCCATCTTAGACCCTCCTAGGCATTGCTCATTATGCTCCAAAGAGGCTGTCACTCCCATTACGTTGTATTTTTTGCTGTTTAATTGTGCTTCTGGCTGACTGCGAACTTGTGAAGATTAAGGACTTTATTTTATTCGTTTCTGAATCTCTAATGCCAGCTGAACTAACAAAGAATAGTAGTCAGAAAATATTTGTTGCATGTGTACATATATGAACTATAGAAGCAAAACATATTAATTACTGTTTTCTAAAAGCTTAAATATTGTCCTTTTCAAGTTAATTTATATATTTTGAACATTAACTCTTTTTTTTTTTTAAATGGGCATTTCTCCATCAATAATTTATGTTGTTTGATACCTGTTTCCAGGTAGTAAATGAAGGGGACACCGAGTCACAGGAGGAGTTGGAGGAAAGTCCTACTCCGGTTGTGGATGAGAATAATATAGTGTCAGCTAAAAAACAGGGGCCAAATTTACATAACTGGAGTGGTGACTGGAGCTTTTGGGTAATATTTTTCCTTTCTTATATCTTCATTTTTATCTTAAATGCAAAATTTTTAAAGTCTACAGCAATTCATATAATTTTTATAATATTTTCTTACTAGCTTGTAGATTTTAGATGTTTTAAGTTTTAGTCCAGAGCCTCAAAGACATTTCTGGTTATACTCTCCTTTGGCCACTAGAATGCACTGTTGTCTGGCTGGGTGGAGTGGGATTGTCTGCTTCAGTTTCCCTGGGAGAAAACCACACCAGAGTTGGGTTCTGCTTACACTGTTGTTCTGTATTGGCAAGAGACTAACATTATACAGAAACCATATTTCTAAATGCTACTGAGAAGCCAGCTATTTTACATAATTTTGATTTAAAGGATTAGTTTCTGTACCTCGAAGGAAGTTTAATGGTGTTTGACCTGTAGCATAAGATGATTGTAAGAAAGGTTTTATAGTTAGGAGTTTCCTATTCTGTTTGCACTGTGCTCACTTGGTCGCATAACGTGGCTGTGCTTCAGGTTTCCCCGCTGTAAAATGAGACTGCCACCTGTTGATTAGCTGCATAGAGTCTTTTGGTAAGAACAATGTTTCTGTTATCATACGAATGCTAGCATTTATTATATTAAAGGACTCATTCTAAATCTAGCAATTCCTACACGAGTTATGAGCCTGTGATTCTGTGAGATAGAATATGATATAATGCAACTTTAAGTGAAATTTATAGGAGATTATAAGGCTTATATAGTTCCAATATTCATTAGAAAGCTGATGTCTTGAAGATTAGGTATACTTGGTAGCAGAATTTCTTACAATTTTAAAGTAGACTAAAGAAGACATAATATTAACAGGTTATAAAAACTAGTACAAGTACCATCATTCTCTTCATAATTAGCAGCTGATTTATTCAATGTTATTGAATCTTAACATGAATAACAGATTCTTACTTCCTATTAAGAAACAACATGATGAATTTTTTAAAACCATATCCTAAGGAAAATATTTAATTGCTAAGAACAATACCAAAATAACTACGCATCCTAAAAATCGTGTTGTCTATGTTGATTATGTTCTTTTTGGTCGCTGTTAGAGAAAGTTTATGACTCTTGTAGTGTTTTGAACCTTCTGCACTGTGTTTTTTATAGCTTGTGTTATAGATTAGAAAACCTTTATAGTTTCAAGGGCTATCTGCAGGGCTAAACAGTTACTGTGGGTACTCTTGGCAAACTTAAAGCAGGGAAAAGGATAAAACGAGAAAAGGAAAAAATAAGGGAATGAGGATTTAGAAATAAGAGAGAGAAAAAAAGAGGTGTGTGTTCTAGAGCTTTGCTGTTCAAGTGTATTACGTGGGCACTTGGCATCACCTGTCAGCTCATTAGAAATGCAGAATCTTGGGCCCAACCTCTGACCTCCTGGACCAGAATCTTCGTTTTCACAAGATTTCCGGATGATTTGTGTGCGCATTCAAGTTTGAGAAGCACTGGTTTAGAGTGTTAAAGTCCTGCTTTGGCTCAGTTTAGGTCTCTGTGCTGATTGCAAACACTTTATTTTGAGGACTTTTTACATGAATTCACATGGAATAGACTTAAAGACAAATACAACATCTCAGAAGTTTTGCTGACTTTTCCAGAGGTCACTGAGGCAGAAACCAGAACTATCAGAAGTCAAAGCAAAAAAAAAACCCCAAAAAAGAGCCTGAATAGCTAACTCAAAGATCATACTGATATATCCTCTAAGAAGAGAATTCCTCAAGTCTTCATTTGGGATTTCTTTAATATCTTTTTGACATATTTTTTTAAGGCTGAATAAATTGGTTCCCATTTTGTAGTTGAAGAGGATATTGGAGATAGGGGAATTACTTGGTGATAACACATGAACAGTAGCAAGAAATGACAGCAGAAGCTCAAAAAGTATAGCAACCTGGGCCTCTTAATGTGGAGGCCAAAGGTCTGTGTAGATAAGCTGGCTCCGACATAGTACCATAACTGGTAGGAATGATGGTTAAGAAGTCTGGGAAATACGCACTTTTCTCTGTCATTTTAAATCCATCCGCTTCTACTGCGTGACTCCACCATGTTGCTATTTTCACATTCTCCTGGCAATAAAGTAGGAATTGAATGAGTACAGTAAGATGGCAGAGTTCACTGAGGGATCCAAAATCAACACAAGGAAGGCCAGTAACACAACAGGAAAATATTTCATAAGGCACGTGGCCTGGTCGTTAAGCAAAGAATTAAAAGAGTGTCACAGCCATTTCGCTGGAACATCCAAGAAATCTGGATTGGCCCCTCTTCACTTTGGAAGGTTTCTACTAAAAGGGATTGATAACTTTTTAAAGTTTTGGTATCTAAAGAGTTAAGCTTTAGGGATCTAGAAAGTTCACTAGTGTAGGATAACTCATGTATTCCGGCCTGGTGAACTCAGTTGTCCCACAGATGTGAATTTAGAGGGCAGCATGATATAACTGAAGGATTGGAGATTGGGAATAAAACATCTGGGGTAGAGTGTACTCCTGTCCCTGGTGACGTCTCCGTGTGGTGCTCTTGTGTATGTTGTTCAACCTGTCTGGCCTCAGTTGCCCCACTTGTAAAAGTAGAGATTGGGTCACAGTATTGCAACATTGGTCTTGAGTCAATAGGAGGAAAAAAGGGGGGTGTTTATGGCTGACAAGTGCTCAAAACTTACAGTCCTGGTAGTTACGTATCAGTCATAAAAAACTCTGGGCATACTCAGTGAGAGTGTTATGTGGGGAACACCTTTCCTTGAGATTGTCCCAGTGGTAAAAAGGTGGAAAAGTGCTGGATAAGAGGGCCTACTATTTGTAATATTGGAAAAAGTATTTTGATGATTCCCTATAAATTAAAAAAATTTTGAAAGCTTGACAAAAGGGTACCAGAAAGTGAACCAAAGTTTATTAAAGTTTTTTGTTGCTTTGTTTTGTTTTTTTGCTAAAGTTGATTTCCTTCAGACCCTATCCACTTAATCTTGTGCTGCTTAACAAATTGGCTAGTAAGTGTCTTTCTGACAGTAGGACTTTAATTTAGAGGAGTATGATTAAATTGCCATAGCAATTGATAGTGAGACCAACAGCTGCAGTTTTCCATTTCAATCCTGTAATATAAAGATAGGAATATTAATTGTTATATTTGTTTTATTTTTTATTTAAAACTGAAAATATTTAATCCTAATATGTGGGAAATGAGTTTTGTTTTTTTCCTTTGAGGAAGATTAACTCTGAGCTAACATCTGCTACCAATCCTCCTCTTTTTGCTGAGGAACACTGGCCCTGAGCTAACATCCGTGCCCATCTTCCTCTACTTTATATGTGGGATGCCTGCCACAACATGGCGTGCCAAGTGATGCCATGTCCACCCCCAGGACCCGAACCAGCGAACTCCTGGCCGCCGAAGTGGAACGTGCACACTTAACCGCTGTGCCACCGGGCCGGCCCGTGGGAACTGAGTTTTATTATTAACTTTTAAATCCTAATGTAACAATAAAAATTTTGTGAAATGAAGCAATGAAGTTTAAAATAAAGCTAATGGCAAATCAGTATCTTTTGCTCTTTAACTGTTAGTAATAATACACAGCAAAAGGAAAAAACCTCAAAACAAAAAACTTTTTTTTTTCCTGATTAAAATAATGGTAGATTCCTGGTGGGTTAAGGTCCCAGAGGAAAAGCATACAGAGACTTGCAGCTGATGCATTTCTTGAATGTGACTTCTCTTGGTGATGTAGAGCTAGCAACCATTGGAAGTAGACAAAAGCCTTTGAGATTTTCGGTTGAGTATGTTTAGAAGATGATGTACTGACCTGGATCTTTTTGCTTTGGGTAAGGTACTTAATACTAAGCATTCTTATGTGCCTTGGTATTTTGTTAACATTAAGTTCCCCTTTAAAAATATTTGTTGTTCATATATACTTATTTTCTTAATAGCTGATTTAGTTGATAATTGCCTTTTAAAAGTGGAGGGATTTATAGTTTTCTGAATTGTGAACTAAAAATTAAATTTGTTTAGCATGTGTTTTCCTTTGGATAGTTGTGTATTTGAAAATCTTGACGAATATTACACAGAATAAGAAAACATGAACTTTCAGATCCCTCAGATCTTTGATTTAGGAAGAGAAATAGAAAAAAGAAAGATGGAGTAGGAGAAATTTAAAAGAAGCTGGAGTTCACATTTGTCATTTCTTTTATATTTTTGTTCTAAAACATTTTAAGAATAAAACAAATCTAGATTATGAAACATTATCTATATATGTACATATAGTAACTAGTATACTTATGTTTTCCTAGAAATTATTTAGATTTGATTTTTTCTGGATCGTAGTCAAGTTTTTCTAATTGTACAAGAGATCAGAAGTCTTGACTGTGGACTTTGTCACTGACTTATAGCATGATCATAGTCATGTTACTCACAGGTAAGCTGCTTTCCTTCTAAGTGAGGGATAAAATTTGCCGCAAACCTGATTTAGAGGTTCATAATGAGGATTAATTAATGTTGTACTGTTAAATTTATAAAAAGCTCAAGAGGATTAGTTAGTATGTTTGTAACATACTTTGACAACTTTGGAGAAGACGTTTTTCTGTAATCATATGTTGTCCTCCACAACATATCTTGGATTTATTCAAGCTAAAAGGGATATTTCAGATTTTCACGTTGGTAACTGATGAAAAAGAATGAATTCATTTTCCAATTTCTGTTGGATTAAAAAACATTTTATCCAATTAAAAAATTTTCAATTGTAGATAGACATTGTTTGGAAACCTACCTATCTTTTAATACTTTTATATTTAATTATAAAGGAATGGGAACTAACATTTCTGGCAATATGGAGAAAGGACTATTTAACTTAAAAGCTTTTCTGCTCCAAAATACCTAGAAATGCTGGATGAAATGTTAAAAACATCTTTTTAAAATTCATATCTGGGCTCACAAAATAGCAAGGGAAATAAATACTTGATGGCTGAAAAAGAAGCAGGAACTGGTAACCAGGGTTGTAAGCACAGGAGCTAA